AACTCCCAACAAATAAAATTAAGCACAATTTGCTCTTGATTATTTCAAAAAGGTTTATTAATCTCCATGTGCAAGGCACAGCGCTTATAAACAGAAAACAAGAAGAGCACGTCTTTAGTTGTAACTGTTGGGATGAAATGAAAATGTACTAACTTCAAAACTGTATTCCCCTTTCAGCTGTTATGGAGGACTTGGGAGATCTTGTCTTGGTAAGAAATGTATTTCCATTCTTTTTTTTTAGCTTCATAGTAGGCAAACTCCTGTTTCTAGGTCATATGCTCAACTTGGAATAAAATAAAACACAATAATAAATCTGATAAAACTCAAAGGATTATTGAAGGCCCTAAACTTGTGCTCCTTAGAAAACTTGGATGGGACTAGGAGGTATTTTCAGCATTGTTTTGGAGGGTTCTGCAAAACAATTTACCACCTGCATTCTTGTTTTGTTTTCTAATGTTCTCCCCATGCAGGTGTTATGATACTGACAGTAACTTCTAACTAATATCCATGGGGAACTGAAGTATGAAAACCAAAGCTGATTACTGTATACTGAAGTTTTTAATGTGTTACAAAACAGTAACAGTATAACAGTACTAACAGTTATTCATTTTAGTGTTGGACATCATCAAAATTAAAAACTTTTGTGCTTCAAAAGACACTATCAAAAGTGAAGACAACCCACAGAATGAGAAAAAACATTTGCAAATCATATATAAGAGACTTGTACCTAGAATTATTACAATAATAAAATGACCACACTATTTTTAAAGTGGGCAAAGGATCCGAATAGATATTTTTCCAAGTAAGACTACTGTAGGCCAACAAGCACATGAAAAGGTGCTCGAGATCATTCATCAACAGGGAAATACAAATCAAAACCACAGTCAGATACCACTTCAAACCCACTAAGATGGCTAGAATCAAAAAGTCAATAATAACAAGCATCGTCAAGGATGTAAAGAAATCAGAACCCCCATAACACTGCTGGTGGAAATGTAAAATGGTGCAGCCACTTTGGAAAACAGTCTGGCAGTTCCTCTAAAAGTTAAACTTAGTTACCGTACGACCTAGCAATTCTACTCCTAGATATATACCCACAGAGAAATGAAGCCGTACGTCCACACAAAAATTTGTGTATGAATGTTTATAGCAGTATTATTCATAATAGCTAAAAGATGACAACAACCCAAATGTCCATCAACTGACAAGTGGATAAACAAAATGTGGTATATCCATACAATGGAATATTATTTGGCTATAAAAAGGAATGAAGTACTGCTACACACTACAACATGGATGAACCTTGAAAACATGCTAATTGAAAGAAGCTAGTCACAAAAGACCACATATTATATGATTCCATTTATATAAAATGTGCACAACAGGCAAAGCTGTAGAGACAGTCTTTAGCAATTACTTAGGGCTTGGGAGGATCAGGGGATAAGGGTGATAGCTAAAGGGTCCAGGGGTTTTGTTTGGTTTTTTTTTTGAGGTGATGAAAATATTGACTGTGGTGACAGTTGTACCTATCTGTGAATATACTAAAAGCCACTGAATTGTACACTTTAAATGAATAAAGTGTACATATGTGAATTATAGCCCAATAAAGCTGTTTTAAAAAAAGTGTTAAGTTTTAATTCAACCACACAGTCATTTAAGATCATAATTTACCTACCAAAAACACACACTAAATGGCCTCAAACTTTTAGTTCATTTTGAACAACTACAGCAAACTCAAAGTCTTCTGCACCAACAGAAATCTAATTAAACATAAAATGTGCTAACCTATCACTAATATTATTTAATAATACATTATTTTTCTGTCATAATAGTAGCTGCTTGTCTCCTACTATACCTGTCTGACACAGTATCACCACAGCAAGCCATAGACAGCCTGAGAGACCTCAGGGGATCAGGGGCAATACAGACCATAAAGGTACGGAGGTTGACTGTTCTTGTTGGGTTGGGTTTGGGGCAGTTATAAATGCACTGCAATAGATAAACAAAAGGGCAGTAAAATGAAAATCCAAAGCTTTCTATAATTCAAATATCACCTGTTTGTTTTTAAATTTACATTTAAACATAACACTAAAGTCTGCAAAAGCTCACAATATTTCAAACAAAATAATGAAAAAATTTGAACTTTCTAGTTTACTCTTCCTGATCTACTACTGCTCAGTTACTGCCCTATTAAGTTCTAGGAATGGATCCTCTCACTTCTAACAATGAGACTGTCACTTATAACTTGGTAATTTTCTGGGCAAACTTTTGGCCAAGAAGATTAATGAAGATCCTATTATATCACAAAAACATTTACTACTGATAGATGAATGGCTATAATACAAAAAAAAAATGTAAAACAATGCTAATTATCCTTTGCTGTGGACAAAGTGACATCTTCCAATTACTTTCCCCTTACCGCTTCAGAAACACTGCAGTAGCAATGGCTCAAGGAAGTTATTGTGTATTAATTATGTTACTAAGATTCTGCAGATTTCACTTTATTTGTAGATCTGTAAAACTGATTTTTCTTCTTTTCCCAAGCATCCTGTCTCCCCTTTAGTGCTCCATCATCAGGCAGGGTACTACAGAATCCCAGTCTGTAGGTGGCTCCTTGGGCTTTAGAGTCCATCTTCCCAGGGTTAGGGCTCTCACAAGTGCCACAGACAACGAATTCTTGTAATAACTGATACATTCACCAAGCAGCCTCATAAGCAGGGCTTAAATAAGGTCATTCACAAAATAACCTAGACTGTATCCACTTCCCAAAATGCTAGCTTTCTCTGAACATGTTCTGAAAACAGAGAATTCCCCTTATTATCTGATAAAATCAAATGATTCTTCAAATATAAGATCAAGTCTCTCTTCTTTGAAACAAAACAGAACACATGGTCTAATGTGTGTGTATGAAATGTCTTTACATCCTCAGTTTTGGAGAGAATTAGACCCATGTTAATATCGGCTGTCAATTTATCACCTCTGTATTCTGTGGCAAGCAGGCTTTAACCTTCCTTGTGCTTTACGAGTCTCTGCTGATGGAAGTTAGAATGCAGTTTCACCTTCTCAATAATGATATGAAATTAGATTATTAGCATAGTAAGGATATCCTCTGGGAAGATATTAAAACTCCAGATAAATTATTTAAAGCTTTCATTTGCTTATCTGTTAAGATCAGCGAGAGGGGTTTTTTTTGTTTTAATATTGTCTACTATGAAAATTGTTCCAAATGGATTGTCATCACAAAAGCAGAAAACTAGGGCTTCTATAAATTAACAGATTTTCTTGATTATACCACTTTTAATTGCTACCCAAAGTGCCCTCTCCCAGCTTACTCCCAAGGGGAAAAAACGTTAACAAAAATAATGCATTCATGTACTGTTAATTATCTTGTTTGGTCCTGCCAGTGAAAGGAGAAAGGATTTAACCAACTTATAAAATATTCACCTGTATCTCATGCTACCTTCTGATTTTTAGATATTTTTAAATAGCTTTTCATACTATGTATGTAGCTTTATTAAAAGATAAAACTTCTCCATAATGCAAATGCTTTCTTACCCAAAAGGAGGTAAAATTTGATCTTAGCCAATTATATTTTTATTCCTGATTCTTGTTATTATTGTGACTACTCTGGGAACTAGTTTTCTACAATATATTTTAACTTGCCTTTACTTTTTTCAGCAATATAATTATCTTCATGAGTTCCGGGACAAACTAGCTGCACATCTATCCTCAAGAGAGGCACTATCAAGATCTGTATCTAGATAAACAATTTCAAACAGCATATATATGACCATGGCTGAAATTTAAGAATCTCTAAGGTAATCTGTATTGTAATGAAACCACCAGCGTTATCAACTTGAATGTCAATGTATATGTGCAGATATTCCTAAAGCTTTTATTAAAAAATTTCATTGTCTTTTTCATCTCTCATAGGGGAGAGAGAGAAAAATTGCTCTACAATGGTCCTTTTTAAAAATGTACTGGCTGCTTTGGTATATTTTACCCGGGGGTAATGCTGAAAAAAGCATATGGAAAAAATATTTGACTTTTTTTTTTTTTAAACTTCATGTTACTGTTTGTAACTACTGTGTGATATATGGCACAGTAATAAGTATGAAAATTGGTATGGGTATCCAAGCTTACTTATAAATAACTTTCACCCTCTATTCCACTCAAAATTTTTTCCATTGTTTTTTCTACTTCACAGACCTACAGAATTATAAGGGATCCTGTCAATCATCTAGTAATTTTCCTTCCCAATACAGCATCATTCCCAACAAGAGTTTATTCAGCATCTGCTGGAACATTTTCAGGGATAAGGAATTCATTGGTTCAGCCTGTTCTTCATTCACATTTCTTTACCAAGCATTTATCTACAGCTTAATCTCAACTCTCTCATTCCTTTACCTCACCTTATACTACAGAACATGTTTTTTTCTTCAACTTTGAGTTACCCAAGCAGCCATCTGAACTACAGACAAGGGTCACACAACGATTCAAAGCCACCTCATTTTAAGAGACGTGAGTGGTTTCAGTGACACATACAGTAGTCACACAGCTCTCTTGGCTACTGGAAACCGCAAAAGTCAACCAATAGTCATTTGGCTACTACGACCAGTTTACAGAATCATAGGTACTTCCACACACAAAAAAGTTAATTTCACATCAAAACTTAGTTTTTAAATGACCATACAGTGACCAAAGTTCTTAATTTTGTCTCACATTCCTCTTGCTGCCAATGAACCAATTTCCTTAAGGAATTCTCTAAAACAATTGCAAGTGCTGTTGGAGAACTTCAGACCAGAGCCAGTATGTACTGCAATATAAAATCAATATTTTAGTGCTTTTATACACTGTTTCTAGAACTTAAGATTTTATGAGTACTAAAGATGGGAGAATCACAAAACCCACCAGTATATACATGATTAAGAATTTTTTATCTCAAATGATAATGTCCAAAATTGTACCAAGGAAAGTTATTTTCTTTAAGTACTGGATACAATGACAGAGTTGCCTTCTTCATGATTATTACAACAGCATATAATTTAAAATCACAATACTCAATTAAACTTTAGGCAGTCATTAAAACTGACATTAGTAAATCTTGTATTAGCATTCACCCACTATAAATATATAGCCTATCCATGAATATTGAGGAAAATGGAAGGACAATATTGGCACAGATTAATCAAATCCTTTAATAATCAATTGAATTTTCAAAGTGTATGCATCTCTCAATTTCCACTGAAAGTGCTAGCTAAGCCTTACACATTTAAAATGTTTGACTAAACTACTTTGATACTAAATATAAGGAAAAACATCAATTATTCCATAGCAGAGAAACACAGGATGCTCACTACCCAAATATAATTGCCCAGTTATGTTTAATGACAGGTAATTTCCAACATTCTAGGGAAAGTATTATCTGCCTAATGTGTGTAACATCCCCCAAAACAACCGTGGCAGGGAGACAATCTTAGAGTCCTGGTCGTACACAAGCCAAAGTGAGCTGCATCTGAAACTGAACTAATACACAGACTCAACCATTATCCATAAATTACACAAGGAAACATTTGAGACCGTTTTTATTAAATATACAAAAGCAAAATCAATCAAGCTCCAGGGAGAAAGGTAGGACTACTTGAGGGCATTTTCTTTGGACAGTGGTACAGCACCATTGAGGTTAACAAACCATGAGCACAGAGAGCTAACTACATTTTATGTTTCTCTTAGTAGTTTTAAGATCTACTTAGTCATCCATCTACTATTTAAGAACCGTTTCTTCTCTAGAATACATGAACATGATAACCAAAGACATTTAAATACTTAGAGAAAGCACTGTACAATAAAAGTTAACTTCCATGTGAGATTTAATCCATTCTTTTGCATGTTGGGATTTTCTCTACATGTTTACTTCCACAATGTGGATTAGTCAACCAATGTATGATGAAACCTTCACTACAACCCATAGCTCCATCACCCTATATGGTTAATACTATTTTCTGACATCAGCAGAACAAGCAGCAGAGTTGTTCATTCATTTAAGACATTTAACTTTAGAACTCTTGATTACAGTCCAAGTAAAACTGTTTTAAGAAAGCTAGCTGACATATCCAGAAACAGAATCACATTTTTTCTCCTGGATCACCAAGGAGTTCAGAATCATCCTCTAAGCTGTATTACTCATACCAGAGATCAATATTTTTATCTTTTTCTCCTCTAAAAAGAGTACTGTTTTAAAATATTTTTGCCATCAATATTTCTGATTTATAATTATACTGTACAATTGATTAGAGATACACATTTGTGGAAAACAGTATAAATAAGTAAACTCGATATTACAAATCTAGTTATAGATTTTAATACAGATCAATATCTGAATGGGTTTGATATGTTGCACTATCATGTAGCCTACAGGGTCACTATGAGTCGGTATTGACTTTATAGCAACAGGCTTGGTTTGGGTTTATAATGCAGCCACACCTAAAATGAAAGCTCATCCCCTGCAGAGTACAAGAGATACACAGAAGTCTGGATATGCAACTAGCTTTCTTATCTGCACCATGGCAATAATATTCAATGAACACTATTCATAAACATATCATTGGAGGGAAAAAAAAAAAAGTTGTCCAAAAAAAGACTTCACCAGTTTCAAAGTGCATCTATATCTCTATTTCCTTTCTATGCACACATAAGACACATCTCCAAACTATGCTGACTTGGGTAGCAGAAAGAGCTCTATCAGAGCTAGTACCATGAGCAGTCTCCAAGCTGAAAATCACTAAACAGGGTTTGAAAAAGACCCATGCCACAAACTTTGTTGCTTTGTGAAAGACCTTTATCCAAGTAGCTAAACTTGGCTGGTGCATCTAGCAATTCATGGTATAATCCATGAGGCTTCACAGATGCTTTAGTAATAGCCAATATATGCCCAAAGTTGTTTGGTCATTTCCTATCACTCTCCCTTCCCATGAAAAATAATTCACACCTCATACAAATTATAATTTGTCTACAGGCTGGAACCAAACTGTCCTCTACCTTGAGACGAGTGGCTGGGAGATATAAATTAAGCACTGTGAAAATCATCAAATATCATTAGTAAAACTTGGATACTGAGTATTTAAGTAGTTTTTACCCCATGCCTCCTTAGTACTAAAGGGACATACTGCCAAATATAGCATTACTCAACAGAATAACTGCTTAAAAAAAAAAAAAGTTATATAAATTGTTTAATTCAAGATACTCTGTAGTACCCACAGCAACAAAGAGTTGTTGGTATGTAGATAAAACCACAGTGTGATACGCCATATGCAAGAGAATGGGCACAAATGGGGGAAATGGTTTCTGAGGGTTGTTGGAAAGCTCTTAAAGATGGGTCAAAACATGTAATATCAAAAGTAACTGTAACAAGGAAAAGAGTACCTAAATAAAGAGCTGTGGCTACACAGGAAACAGTCTGATATAAACTGGAAGGGATTAAGATCTCAGCTAATTATGCCTCAGATGAACCTGCAGAAATAACAGAAGTTAAGCTATGCCATCCAAAACAGATTAATGGAGCAACAAAGTAAATGCAGAGCAAGGAAAAGAGCCAGTGGGATACTGTCTAACCAAAGTATTTTGCTTCTGCTTTCTCTTTGTTAAGTAATCTAATTCACAAAACACTGGAAAAGGCAAAAGTGGATCGATATTACAAGAGTACCCAGGTACTCAATCTTCTAATCAGTTACGTGCCTAGGAACTAACACCTACCACTGAGACAGGTGAACCTCACTGTCCTTCATCTTTGAGGAACCAACTGAGGACTACATATCTAATTTTTGAAGCTTGATTTTAAGATGGCTTCCACAAATTGTGACCAGTAAACTTTACATTAATCCTAGGGAATATTCTAGAATAGGTAATTAAAAGGATGTTAAGAGCTACAGCTGCTAACCAAAAGGTCGGCAGGTCAAATCCCCCAGGCGCTCCTTGGAAACTCCATGGGGCAGATCCACTCTGTCCTATCCGGTCACTATGAGTCGGAATCAATTCGACGGCAACGGGGTTGGTTCTGTTAAAACTTTTAAAAGGAAGCAATGTTTGCTGAGAGAGCAAGCATTCCTGAAAACACTTTGACCGGAATACTAAAGCAGCAGCCCCAGGAAACCTACATATCTGAATTATGGAAGACTTGGCCAGCTCTCTCATGATCAGAAGTACCTGTGAACAAGAAAAATGAGGAGTGTTGCTAATATAATTAGGTAGATTAGAAACTGAATGACTGCTCATACTCAGCGCATGAATCTCTAGTGCCTAGCTAGCACAACGCTGTCACGAAGCAAGTACTCAATAAATAATTTACTGCACGGACTAGGGAACAGATCCTTCTAGGTGTTCTCCAGACTATAAATATAAAACACAACACTCTTTAAAGCATTCCTTGCTATGAAATGGTTTCTCTCTCCTCATTCTTCTGGTTCTACATCCTCTTCTTCAACACACGCACCCCTACGCCCCATCCACAACAGTAAGAGCTACTCTCTCAAAGGTGACGAAGCATTATTTCAAAGCATTTTTCACTACTAGAGAATAAAACAGCATCTAACTCAAAGAGTTCTTACAGTAAAACTTCCATAAACTCCCTTGATCATTATGTGAAGTTTCTATATATCGTTCAAGAAATTTCTGAACCACTTACACTATTTTCAATTGCCTTAAACTACCTCATGCCAAATAGAAGCACAAGGATACTTATGAAAACATGCATGCCATAATTTCCCTGCCTTTCAAGAAGCAGCAAAAACTCAAACAAGGTTGTAAGTGATTTTACCTTAAACCTGCTGTTTCAGAAAGGAAAACAAGGTATTTAAAACACTTAAGTGCCACGATTTTTTAAACTGGTAAGAGAAATGATGGTGCTGTGACATCAACACTTATGAATCTTGTCAATAAAATATCTCTCTCAAATGACAGCAGAAGTAACATGCGTGGCCATTTAAAAATCTTCCTTTTTAAATCCAGGCATGGTATTTTTAAGAAAAACCACAATGTAATACTCTACTATTTTTTTAAAAAATTGACAGTAATATGTCTTTATTACAAATTAAGCAAGTTAAGAAATAGCTATTTGTAATCTTTAAAACAATGCACTGAAAATAAGTCTTAATTTCAGAGTTTTATTGTACTGCACTAAAGGAACAGCAGGGTGGTTATACAATGTTCTCTCTCATTCAGTTCTGAAAATCTAAGGTACTTGCAAATTCTTAAGAATACTTTTGCCACCAGATTAGAACAGTATAATAACCGATTTCTTAATAAGTAGTCTTACAAATAAAAACACATTTAAAATAGCTTTAAATGCATCCTTCACAATTAGTATATATTTTTATATCATGTTCACTTATGCTTAAGAATTAAAGCAAGTATATTACTCTGATGGAAATATGGGAAATCTCTCATTCATGCAATATACAGGGATAATATTCAAGTCAAAGGAGAAAAAAATCCCATTCTTCTTATTTTGTAAAGGTATCCATATATAATCATCTACATGATAGACAAGGAAACCCATAAAGTTTCCCACTGGTCAGACAAACGTTTTCAGTTCGTCAAAACCACCTGATATCTACAGCTAATTTATAATTAGATGGGCATTTCAATAAAACCACAACGAGCCCTACAAGTTCCTATACACAAAAGCTGCCAATGGACTAAGGACAGTCAGTAATTAATGCAATCATTCAGAGGGTTATGGCTGTTCCTTAAGGAGTGCAAGTTCAAACCTGGCAACACCAGAGGTAATCATTTTATGTTAATTTATACGTAATTCCATTTAAATTCTTTATCCGAGTATAACATATGAAAACAGTCTTTCCACAAGCAAAAAATGTGGAAACATTTAAAAAATAAGGAGTCATTTTTTAAAGTAATTGATCAGATTCCATAGGCTACTCTTGGAAACAGGATCTCGCTGGATAGAATCCCTTCATTTGGTGGCTTCTGCATGCACTTAACTGGACCAATTCTTCTGTGTGTTGTTCTAAGAGCTCACCAAAACATAGATCATGCTGAAAAGAAGAAAAAGGCTGTTAATTCAAACATTCCTAATTATAAAACTAAGGGCATCAAAACGTCAAACCTGCTTTATACAGCAAATGTATCTGGGGTATCAACCCATCACAGAACATGAAAAAACCAATGACAAGTTCACAATATAATTTTAATTTGCATTTATGGACTTTTGCCTAAGGTAGGGCTTGGCTCAACGCATGTGCTGTAGTTGTCCCACACTTCCTTTCCAATTTTAGCAAGAACAGCACAGCTGAAGGCTTAACGGGGAATCAGAGCTCAGAGAAGCAATCCAAAGCACTGCACTGTTCTGGAGTTGAGTCTAACAGTAGGCACGCCAATCTCCAGAGGGCTCGCTTCGTGCCAGGCCCTCTTCTAGGTCTTATATACATGACTTCACTTAATCTTCAAAGTAGTTCTAGAACATAGGTACTATTATTATCCCCATTTTACAGATGGGAATGATCAATTAAAGAACTTACCCACTAAAGCAAGGCTCTAGGCAACAGCAGGAGGGAGACAAATGAGCAAAATAAAAGGCAATGACCATTCAATTTAGGAATCCCTGGGTGGCATAAAGGTTAGGCGCTGGACTACTAGCCAAAAGGTTGATTCAAACTCACCCAGAGGTGCCTCGAAAGACAGGCCTGGCAATCTACTTCCGAATGACAACCCTATGGAGCAGTTCTACTCTGCGTACGTGAAGTTGCCACGAGAATCAACTCCACAGCAATCTTAACAACAACCTTGACCATTCAATTTAGGCTTAGGAACTGCCAGGGACAATTCTACATAAAGAGTGATATGGGAAACGCATAGGGACATAGTTCAAAAGCATGCATCTCTAAATGGAAATATAAAGCAAGGAGTTAGCAAACTTCACAATTTTAAAATCCAAATGAATGTCCTAGTGCCACCATCTCCTAGTGAGCATTTTCCCACAATTGCACATCTCCAACTTTACCATTTATCCAGTCATTCTTTTTTTTTTTTTCCTCTTACAAATGTTTTCAGTGCCTACTATATGCCAGCACTGTTCTAGGCACTTGTTACAGAAAACTTAAAAAAAAAAAAAAAAAAAAGAAAATTAACAGGAAAAGAGAATGACACATAGAATCTCACTTTTCAGAATCTATTCACTATCTTTGTTTCATACATGAGCAACATCACTTTCAGTTATGACCTCTGAAAACATAAAAAATCTTTTTCCTAAGTTTCTAACCATTCATCCATTTCTATAATGCAAACTTAAATGATATAAAGAAAAATTATGAATAAGCTACCATATAATACTTACCAAGTTTTCAAATAACAGAAAGGAGAGGAAATGAAAGCTTAATTATTGTAACAATTTCATTTTTATACAGCTGATTTTCTTCATATTTTGAAAATCAGGTGGAAAGCCATCTCTAGTTGAACACATATTAGGAAAAGATGAGAAAACTGTATTTATATAGCTTAACGAGACACTAAAACTCCATTCTTAACAGTGACCTTTCCTAGCTTGATTAAGCAGCCGTTTTACTCTACTTACAATACACGGGGCGGGGGAGCTCGCCCCACAGAAGGCATATGGCAATGTCTAGAGACACTTTCGGTTGTCACCCTGGGGGAAGGGATGCTACTGGCATCTAGTGGGTAGAAGCTAGGGATGCCACTAAACATCCTACAATGCACAAGACAACTCCCACAACAAAGACTTCTCCTACCCAAAATGTCAGCAGTGCCAAGACTGAGAAACCCTGACCCAGAGGAAAGGCAATACGTGTCCATTATGATATAAAAGAAGAAGAATGGATAACTGTACCACCCAGTAAGCAGAACTTCCTTTCGTTCATCCCATTCAGATCAAGCAAACAAGAAAATAAAAGGCATAGCATACAGTTTATGAAGAATGATAAGGAAAAAATTAATCGCAGTCTCAGAAGAACAGTAAAGTCAAGCAGAAACTTCTTTGCAAACTCGCACAGCAATATCCTCTCACTGCCATCACGCTGCCATGGAGAATAAGGGCTGTCCTGCACTGAGTGAATACACGTGAAAACTTAGGAAGCAGCACCTTGATCAAAGTTTCGGCCTCTGACTGCACACCAGTTTCCCTCCTTGACAAACACCAGTGTATGTCATCTTGAACATGTGTGAATTTGCTGGTGTGTACTGTGCCATTACTAGTTACCACCACTGAGGACACGAGGTATTCTTCCAATTGGATCTTAAGGGGATAAGACCATATGAATGCAAACATTTTAAGCAGCAAAGTGAAATCATATTTTCAAAACTTACCCGTATAGGTAGTAAAAAAATGCTAGGAGATAAAAAGCTAATTTGCACCATCCTTCTTTCTGACAATATGCTAGAATATCTGCATTCATGATGGTTGTGGGGTCATAGAGTCCTGGTCCGCTCATCACTGGTCTACTCATATACCTGTAATAAACACAGTCTATTAGCCACTCCGAAAAGGAAGCAAACCTTCAGGATGGAGGGAGGGTTCTTCTTCTCAAATACAGGTAGTCTCCATCTTACAACGCGGTCCCATTCCCATGACTCTGTCATAACTTGATTCAGACATAAACTGCGTACCTTTTTTTTTTTTTTTAGTTTTCATTATTACTGCCTTTTATTATCAGTATCTTTATAAATCCAATCTTTAGTTGTCTGCAAGTGAACACCTGAGAATGGTAACATCAGCAAGTTACACACTGCAACACTGTATGTAGTACATATTACTAATGATAAGATGCACACAAGAAAAAGGAAGGTGATAAGTGCAGTCCACTGTAACTCAAATGAGTCATAAGTCGAGGATAACCTGTAATATGTTACAATGAGAGATGGTCCACAGAGTAAAGCAAATTCTTAGTTATGAGTGGAATCCTCTCCTTTCCTCTTATCATCTTAAGAC